ATATATATATATATATATATATATATATATATATATATATATATATATATATAATATTTAATCCATACACATTCTTTTCTGGTTATTTTCTTATTTACATAATTCCTCTACGTTACTTATTACTTATTTAACAGACTAAGCGTGTTTTGTGCATTACATACATATATACCATACTTTTTACATATATAACATTTATTACTATATTTTTTATTCTGTATTATAATTTACTTTTCTTTTATTATTATACTATTGATTACTTATATTCAATTTACATTCTTTCCTTGACGGAATTCTCAAAAATATGAGTCTAAACTGTCTAGACACAATACTCCAAGGGTTAGTCATTATTTTTTCGAGAAGTCAATCTACTTTCGTATTCTTATCAATTAACTTAAAATAGTTTAATCCAAGAACAACAGATCAATGACGTCAGCAGATCCAACTATTTTTAGTTCATTGGCGAAGCGACGCGTGTTGTCGACGTAATGGATAGTTAGAGAGGAGTTGAGATGCTAGTGACAGCCCTAGAATTCGCACCACTCGACTCATTCATCCTTCTAAACCGAGAGACTGTAATAGAAAGAAAGCGGAACGGGTGATTGGTAGGACGTTCGACATGGAGCGCGTGTACGGGTTCTTTTACGACTCGAATCGCTTCGAGCATCTTATAAATCGATGGATATAGACATCCGAGTAACCGCCGATCGATCTACAGACAACGACATTCCGTCGAGTATTTCTCGATTTTAAAGTGTTTGACTCTATTATTCTCGATTGAAGCTCAAACCTATATTATAATGCTTTACGGAGGCAGACTTTGCGAGTTTGATTGTTAACATACGATAATGCAGCAAACTACTGCATAAATTTTTATAAAACTTTCAATGCTGGCTTTCTTATAATATTTCGCGAATCGCAGACTGTCTATTATTATGGAATAAAGGATTGAACGTTATTGAAATAGAGTTCCATTCGAATAGTTAGTCAAATTGAATTTTCATTTGAGAAGTAGTTCATTCTAAAACTACTGAGCAATTGGAGCGACTTATTTCAAATTCCTTATAAAAGTTAAAACAATACGTTTCATGGGATTCGAAGGGTCTCCTAGTCTTGTATCTGTACAAATACACAAATCTAATTTAAAATCTCTCGCAGAAACGCTTTCATAATTTAAATACTTGCAAAATAAAACTTCTGAAATAGGTCAATTTGAAACGTTCGGTAATTTTAGTGTTAATTACATAGAAAATTTATGTCATACTATGTATGTATTATTGCTAAACAATGTTATTTAGATAATAATGTATATTAAAAATAAGTTATTTTAATATGTCCTACTTTATTTGCGCTCTAGGTATTTGTTATTTGATTTTTAAATGAAATTAAAGGTATTTCTATAACATTTTTAATGTATTATAATACATTTTAATTTACAAATAAATTTTAAAAATTAAATGACTGTTAAACCAGTTTTCATACAATTGTTATTGATGCATTTTTTGTTCGATGGCGATCTACATGAAATTCGATATCCATCAAGCAAACAATTGTATAATAAAAATTTCTTTAATTTACTTCAAATTAAATTTTTTACATATTCGTTATTTAAACATTAAATAATTTCAAATATATCTACTTATTAACTTTCTTCATCAATTTATTTTATTTGTGCTACATATATTTCAATTATAAAAAAACTATTTTCGTTACAATAAACATATCGAACACATAATTCGAATAACGTTAATATTATAACCGATCAGAAGAATAATTCATGATTAAAACATAAAATAATAAATTCTTATCTAAAACTGTTATCGTGTGCCCCATATAACCCAGTGTAACCGTTTCCAAAATTTCATTCGTTTTATTATTTTTAAAGTTTGGTTACCACGAACTCTGGCAACTCGGATCAAATAAATGATAATCAACTGTCCGAAAGAATTACTCTGATGAAATTTTAATTAAAATATTTTCGTCAATAGAGAAGTAATTTTTGACAGAATAGTTAGAACCTCATCGGGGTTCCACTGGGAAATCAGAAAATGAATTCCGTGGCCGATTATGATGCGTCGGCGAGGAACGTTTCCACAGGCGTATTCATCTTTCTGTATTACAAAAACTTGACGGTTTCTCATTTACCAAAAATAGGTTCAGGATCCTTTGAAATCTTCAGACTTTCCGAAGGATCAATCGAAAGTTTTAGACCTGCAAGAAATACGTTTCTGTGACATTGACTGGGAAAGTCGTCAGTGATAAATCTACTTATAAATTTACATAAATTTTTGTTAAAGGTAATCTACGAGGTCGTTTATCAAAATAACAAACAAAAGTGCGGATAGTAAATCTATTTGATATACATAATAATTCATGCAACTGGAGCAAGTCATATTTCTTTCCCAATTGCAATAATAAAAACAAAATGTTCAACGGGAGAGATGAATAATTCAAAAAGCAATACATATTCAGAATTATATTTCATAGCAAATACAACGATTCATATGTATTGCAGAGTAAACATATTTTGTTTACTTGCATACGTAAAATACTTTCATCATATACACATTCGCCAAACTAAACGGAAACGTATCCTCGAATAAGATTTAATATCAAATAAAGATTAATACGCTTATATTTGCAAATTCCCATTCTTTTTAGTGACAACACAAAAACACAGTATTACTGTTGAGAAAGGAGTTTAGAATTTTAATTCATCTTTTGAGATATTTAACATACACGTTTTTAAATAATCTATTCACTAAATCACTAAAGTTTCTTGAATAAAGTTGAAATAATCTCGAAAACTTATTTTTAATATCATTTCTAATAACTAACTAATATAATATAACATTATTACAATTAGTACTAATATAACATACCTATAAAATTAGATATAAGATGGAATATTAGATTTAGCACGCTGACTGCCACGACAGTCACTGATGACTGGAACTTCCAAATGACAAGAAAATAATTATTAAACTTATGAAATAACTGATATTGAATTAAAATGTTCGTTAACGTAAATAATTAGATAATAGTATGATGTAAATGTGATACCAAATAAATAATAATCTTTCCTTTTTATTTTTGCTACATAAATAACAAGCGATGCATAAAACGGTGATGTTTCTCGTAAACGATAGAATTTTTATGAAACATCAACATCGTTATACACAAATGATCAGTTCCATCATTATTTACAAATTTTCTCACAGCAACTTGTATCTCATAGGAACAAATTTTTCTTTATTGCAGCAAAGTTGGATGGCGTGAAAACGTACATGAGGATGAGAAGAGTGCCAAAGCATTTACAAGTGAAGGTTATTAAGTGGTTCGACTACCTCTGGTTAACACAGAAATGTTCGGACGAGGAAAAAGCTGTCAGTTGCCTTCCAGGTAAAGTTGTCCAAAGTTTCTATCAATATTTTGACGGTCGCTGTCAGATACACGAGATTTTGTTAGGTAAAGATTGTTAGTCGATATCATGTCAACGTAACTTAGACAAATACTTTATGAAACTATCCTAAAACTACTTTCAATTACCATATCATAATTATTCAAAATTATGTAACATGAAACACACTGATAAACAGTGGTTTAGAGCAGAAGGAGAAACTTTTTTAGGAACGGGCCAAAGAAAGAAGAAAAAATTTTGGCGGCACAATATAATTTATTATAAAACTCAACAAGGATTCAAAAAGATATTATTTTAAAAATTCTTTAATACTAATGCGATGAATGAAGCTGTGACTGCATTTCTGAAAGTTCCTCATAATCTGTTCGGACCGGGATATACTGATTCTGAGAAGTGAATTTAACCCCTTCACCTACGATATCGTGTCAGTCTCATGACGAAAATTTTTAACTGAATTTGAGAAACCAAAGTGTTATTCATTCGTTTGGAATATAAATTAAATACTATTTCTTTATTATCAATCGTTAAGCTTTGGAGTAAACGTAGACATAGAATAAGCATCAAAATTTATTCGTTTCCTAATAAATTAGTAACGATAAAGTGGTTGTATCGACCATAGTTAAGAAGAAAACCATAGGTCAAGGGTTTAAATGCTCATCTGTCAGCATATCTGACATATTACAAGGGCGCAATAGATTATACATTAATAAATAATTGGAATCGAGATTGAGAGTCCTAATAACAATTCTGAAATTTAAAGTGATTCAAGTCGATCGATATTTTCTTTTCATTCTCAGGAACAATATTTTGACACGAAACAATTTCGAGAAACTTTTGTTTTAATAAGTAGACTGTAAACTTACATACACTTGTAACATAAATCTGAAATATACATATAAAAATACAAAATATACTTAACCCTTTAGTTCCCGGTGTCATTGCCTTGGAACTATATAATTCAATATCAATAAAATGCGAATGGACTGGTCGCGGAGCCACCACTATAAAATCGATATTGCAATTGCCTTCTTTTCTTTTGACAGTTAGAATAGAATTCCTTATAAAGATATTTATTTTTGTTAAAAATGAAAAGTTAGTTAACATATACTGTGACAATAAATACATTTTTCCTGAAAGTTTTTATTTAAGACCTAAAGGGTTAAATTCAATATTCTTATTACTGTATTCAATCATTCCTATGTACTTATAAGAAGTTATAAACTGCAAAATTGGGTAGAACACACACGATACCAGAAAACATATGAAATATCCAAAGTGTAGTTTCCATTATTTCTAAGAAAAGTTGTTTCCTATCATGATTCTATTTTTCTTATAACATTTTTAATTATTTCAATTCATATAAACACCTGCAATCCACGAGCGTCTTTGTCCTCGCTACGTTCCAGACAAACTGAAAGCTGAGATAGCGATAAACGTGCATCTGGATACGCTGAGGCGAGTCGAGATTTTCCAGAACACGGAGGCTGGCTTCCTGTGCGAACTAGTGCTGAGACTGCGGCCCGTCCTGTTCTCACCTGGCGACTACATTTGTCGCAAAGGTAGGCGTAACATCTAGCTCCAGTTTTCTCCATTCGTACCGGGCGACGTATTTTTCGGATGCAATGTGATTCACTTTTGGAACGAGCCACTGGAATCGAGCCAAGAGATGTACCAATCTGGAAGGGGGTCGAAAAGTGATTGCCTACCCTTTCCACTTGGCCTCATTGTCAGTAGCGCATCGAGGAGGCGCAGTTAAAAGAGAAGTACTTTATTCCGCGGAATAACTGTTTATGATGACTGAGCGCGGCACAGCGTACGGGTTTAACGACCCAACTTCTCTTTACTTCATTCAAAAACCGACGATCTTCGCTGAGCTAACAGTTATAGCAGAACTCCCTAAAACGCGGTTAAAATATCGTCGAAAAATAAGTCTGACAATGACATTTTCCGTAAGACACTGATACAATCAGAGGACCAACTTAACCTTTAACCCCTTGACCTACGATATCGTGTTAGACTTGTGACGAAAATTTTAAACTGAATTTGACAAATCTAAGTGTTATTTATTTTTTTAAATCCAAATTAAATATTAATTTTCTATTATCAATCGCTACCATTTGGAGCAAACATAGACATAAAATAAACATGAGAATTTTTTTTTTACTAATAAATTATTAACGGTAAAGTAGTTATGTCGAGCACTATTAAGAAACAAATTATAGGACAAGGGGTTAAGTATGAACGCGAATTTACCGTTTAACGCTGGAACCGTACTAGTCAAAATGGCTGGTTTCGATTATTTTTTTCGCAATTAGTGATACCTTAAAAGCATTGAATATTCGAAATGATCTTGGAAATAAATGGTTTCACTTGAATGTACTAAATGTCTGAAAAAACTGAAAACATTCTAATGTTATAATTTTTATAAGGATTATATATTAATCATATTAAATGCTCGGTAGTTTTAGTGTTAAGTGTAGAAGTCTGAAAATTACCGATTAATGTTTAATATCCTCGTCTATAACTAATTAAAAAATCTACTATATTTGTTTTTTCATATTTATATATTTCTACATAGCAGTAGTATTAACTATAAGTGCCATTAATGTGGAAAATAGTCCAAGACATTTTAAGTATCAAAAATCATGTTTCCTTATAAGTTACACACAACATTGCACAATCATAATAAATGAATATGAAAATGAACAAACCTTTAAATATCTCGAAACTGAAAATATATCATTTAGTCTTCTTTTAAAATAAACGAAATATATAACGAAGATTTCACTGGTTCTAAAATTCACAATATTTTATATATAGGTCTATGAGAGACACATCCTTATTTAAAGATTAATACAAGTTGGACCATTATATCCAAATGGGAATTTTAAACGAAATTCGTAAACGTGAAACGCTGTAACACAGAGTATTTTAATGGTGTTATAAAGAGTTCTTCTCTATTAGCTATATGAAATTAACAATGTTGTCCATAGGGAATTATTCCTATTACGAATTTCTTCAGGGTCATGTGGGAAATTCATTTAACGTATAACTCATGTGGTATGAATGGTTCGTTGTGCATGCGTGCAGGCAACCGGGTCATATTGCGACGGACCGGCACCACTATATTTGGGAAATAGTGTGACTGCGTTTGGAAAATCTTGAGTGGCTGAAAGAATGCGAGGAAGAGTGTCTGGAACTGAGCGACTGGACCGTGAGAAAAATGTGTACGTGATTGCGTGAATTTTGGCTATGGACGAAAGGTGCGAGTGAGAAGGGTGCAAGTGTAAGAAAGACAGAGCGAATGGGGTGTGTTTTAAAAGCAAGTGGGAATGCGTGGGTGAGAGACATTTGGTGCGATACATTTGGTGCAAGACATTTTTGGGCCAGACTTGTGTGCGAGACGTTTTGGTGCGAGATTTAGACGAAAGACTTTTGTGCCATACTTTGGCGTGTGATCAGCGAGCGAGCATTTAGAGATCAGTACAAATGTATTTAATATTATATCACAGCGGAAGTGTTATTAGTGAGCTAATGTCCTAGTTCCGAAAGAATTCTACAATCAAAACGCGTTCGGGAACGTATCCTACAAATATTGGGACTCGTGAGGAATAATTTCCTATAACATTGAGAGCTCGCTCGGGGTATTTCCTACAATATTGGGGGCTCAGCCGGGATATTTCCTACAATACTGGGGGCTCGTCCGGGATAATTCCTACAATATTGGGGGCTCGTCCGGGATATTTCCTACACTCATTTAAATAAATTAATTTCACAACTATGCTCGATAAGACTACTTTATCGTTAATGGTTTAAAAAGAGACAATTAATGCTTATTCTGTATGCCTACGTTTACATTAAACATCAAAGGTTGACAATAGACAAGTAATACTTCATTTATATGAAAAATAAATAAATGACACTTAGATTTGTCGAATTCGGTTGAAAATTTTCCTCCCGCGTCTAACTCGTTATTATAAGAAAAGGGGTTAACTATACACTAAAGTTGAAAATCTTCTAGTAAAAGAATATCGCTTGTAATAAGTTTAGTATCCAGTTCATTTCACAATTTCCTTCTTTCCTGAATTCCTTTATGGTTATGTCCTAAATCCATTTAACTTTACCATATATATAAGTAACTTAAGGATCTAATACATATTACGATAAACGTCTTCTTTCTTGAATTTTTTTATGGACATGTGCGAGATCCATTTAATTTTACATTACACAAGATTCGAATATTCCCTTCTAGAAAAAAGTTATTGGCTATAATAAATTAAGTATCTAATATACATTACGAATTTTTCCTTTCTTGAATTTTTTATGGTCATCTACAGAATCCGTTCAACTTTACCTTACGCAGAAATTGGGAACCTCCTTCCAGGAAAAAGTTATTACCTACAATAGATTAAGGGTGTATTTACTTCATATTACGAGCTCCTTCTGGAACACTGTATAAATCTTCAAATTCTGCAGAACAGTACGTAGTCATATATACAACAACTTTCTGAGAAAAGAGGGAAATATAGTTTCTATGAAACATTATCATTTTAAAGAATAAAAAATACGAATATACAGCTAAAGCATAGTTTTAATTCTTAATTTTTCAATCTTTATCGATTACACATATGTGAAAAACTCATAATAAATCAGCCATTTCCTTTAACTTTCCAAAGTTGCATACTCTCTTAACCTATTTGCATTATTAACGTACAAGTATATATTCTCTTAAGCTAACCTATCAATAAACGGTCAATATTATGATATTATTATAGTATCACTATTATTTACAATATTATTATGAATCTATATTCTGACCCATACTTTCACGTGTATTTCTACCACTCGGTTATTCAAATATAACAAAAAGTGAAATGAATTGGTAGTAATGAAACAGTTTTCAGTCCATCATATATAACATAACGATACAAGTGCATAAATGAACTTATTAACTTAAATCCGTAAGGCCCATACGCATTGCCAAGAAATTCAATTATTGCCGAGTTAGCTCAATCAATTTAGGTATGGAATAGTTTTCGTCAGATATGTCGCTGGTCGGTCAATATTTCTTCGGTCCTTCGAATCGGCGAACAAGAGCAACCAAGCAAATAATTCTCCCTCGCCTGGGGAAATGCACAGAGGGGAAACCGAATAAAAGGGGAGCGAAAGAGAAGATGAGGTCATCTTTCTCCCTTCTTTGTCTTGTTCATCGTCGTGGAAACAGCACGTCAGCCGCATGGCTCCCGGAATGCGGCAACCGTTTCCTACTGCTGTGATAGACGGTTTCGTTTGATGACTGACCATACTGCGAGTGCATCACTGCCGTACAGTTGGCGGCGACCAAGTTAAACGCGACTTATGACCGCATTATGTCACGGAACGATGACGATCCTCATAAGTACGGAATCTTAATGTTTTTACGTTTGCTATAAAAGATACAAACGTTACAACCGAGCAACCGTTGCAAAGTTTTAATGACGCCAGAAAATGTTGATACTCGTAGATTACAAAAATTTTATAATGAAGTCAAGTGAGTATGGGAATAAAATAATTGAACTATGTAGACTAACCTGGATTGTATGAGTAATAATTAATTAAATGTTTATGTAAATAATATTGTGTAGTATGCGTACGAATGACATGTCTAAAGGTGGGTGGCGATTGTTTATGAAAAAATAAGAAAAAAATAGAGAATAAAATATTCTTGAATATTAAACATTAGAGAAAACAATTTTATTTTATAGTTTTTTCTTACTTTCATAAGGGATTATCTGCTACTCCGCATGTCATTCGGACGCATCTTGTACAATTAGACAAAAAAAGTTAACGTTTATTGTGGAGAATACGAGTGTTGCGACCGGGTGATCGTTGTATAGACTTAATGACGTCAGTAAATGAAGGAACTTGTGAAATACAGCGAACAAATTTTAGAATGGAATAACGTGACTATGAGAATAACATTATTAAATTATGCAAAATAACCTAGATTGTATAAACACTTATTAACGAATTGAAAAGGAAAGTGGGAATCGATTATCTTTTAACGTGTAATACTACTGCAAGAAATTTTTATTTCTTCTACGTTTTGGAATATTTATAAACGATGGGTGATTCTTATAAAGTTCATTTCGTTAAATACAAATTTAAAAAACGTTTTCCTCCTTTGTCGTTAACTTTTTACAAATTTAATTTTGGAATGAAACTAATTGGATATTGGAATACAAAGTTTTTATTAGAGTGTTATCAAAATAGGACGACTGATGTATTTCTTGCTTCTGACAAGGAGAGTGCAAGGCCTTCGGGTCACCGATTTCGTTGAAACTGCATATTGGTAGATTTGGTTCTCCTGTTTATGAATATATACCATTATAAGGGCAGACACTCAATAGTTTTTTAGATATTTGTTATTAAAAATTTATCACGCCATAAGTACAGTATTAATCAGAATAATCACCAAGTTAAATAATGATGTGAGGTTAATGTTCTGGAATTGTACTCTGTAGACCAGGATTCGCTTCTCCGTAGAGAAAGAAATAGTTTTCGATTTTTTTTTATTTAAATTAATTTTATTTTGTGCATATTGTGACCTTGTGAAGGTCCATAACCTGTTGAAACTCGCGACTATCTAGACATAAGTGTCTGTGTTCACTGTCTTCATTATTTCACTGTACATTTTGAACTTCGATTTATCTACAAGAAATTATAACTTATATATTTGATCAATTCAATTGCGTTATCTCTTAACTACCGAGGTGAAAGAAACTTACACTACAACCGTGGATCATCTTTAAAGCCAACATCCACTTTAAGGTATAATAAAAGTATTGTTTAAAAAGAAAAGAAAAAATTTTATTTATGATTTTTCTTAATGTTCCTTCCTTATGAATTAGAACAGAAAAACAAGTGAACAGTGTTTATTCTAATCAGACTTATTCATAAATTCGTTGAGGCACATTTTATGAAATATTCCTTTTGTATTAAAAATGACCATTTATTTAATTTATACTTGATTAAATTCTTTCGCTATTGAAGTGTAATAGTCGTTGTCCTTGTGATTTATGAAGTTGTCTACACAAATGAGAATAATTTCTCATTTTGATCAAAGAGATCTTTGTCTCTTATAAACACGAATCTGTTATCTTTTTAATTCATATAAATAAAAATTTATTTTGATCTTTACATTAATTATATGCACAAAAGCAGCATTTTCCAAATTTTGTTTAATAATTGCATTACTAATTAATGAAAAGAAGAATATATTCAAATATTTAATCATTCAAAGACAATTTATGTAAAAGAATAGAGAAAATATTTTTAAACGCTAAACTTATTGTATAATAAGTAGGTAATATTTTTTTAACGCATTCGCGAACGCTGACGTGAATTCACGTCTTTTCAAATTCTATTCTTGATTGCCGCTGCCGTACATTGAGATTTTTGCAAGTACTTTTCTTTACCGGAAAGTTCTTCATTTTAACCAACAAATCATTACAAAACTAATATTTCAAAACGTATTTGCTAATTTTTATTGTAAGGTCAATAATTTGCGGCAATTAGCTTAAGATTTCTTCATTTTCACCGACAATAAATATTAGAAAAGCAAAACATTTGACAATAGCGAATGTGTTAATATAGAAATCGAGTGAACCATACAACCAATAAATCCTTGTTGAGCAGAACATTATTTTCCTTGTTTATAACATTATTGGTAAATGTTTCATTTTCGTGAATTAAACGCTGCACTTAATTCACGTAGATACGTTTAAAGACGTACTTGTGTGCGCATACAGAGTGAAGGGAAATAGGTAGGCAAATATTGGTGCTGAATTCTATTCCTCCTAAGGTTGAAAATAGGTCATATAAACATTAGTCCGGAAACACTTCCATTTCGTGATATAAATACTTCTTGTTTACAAGGAAATTTGAATATTTCATGGTATCAAAAGTTGGCATGCGTAAAATTACGAATACTCTCATCATTGTCTTCTGTTAACAGTGAATAAGACAGTAGAGACAGTTATCTTGATATTAAAGGTGGTGTGTATTGTAATAAATTAATTAATATTAAGAACACTTCACAAACGAGTATATCAATCGATAAACTTTAAAAATGAAATTTTCATTAATTGTTTCATTGTGTGTGTTAGGCCCAGTGTGACCAAATCGGGGAAATTGAAGGGAACATAGTGTACCCTTTCTCTAACGTTATCGAAGGGTTCTGCGGTGGTTACGGAGGTTGTTGGAGGATACCCGCTGATTAGGAATAGGGTAGTGGAAGGGGTAAAGCGGAGGTGTTAGGCCAGAGGGGTTAGGCCAGAGGTGCCGAACTGGGAGCTCGAGAGGTCCATAGTAACTTTTCCATCACAAAGAGTTGCCCTCTTCATATGTAGATACTATACGCCTCTTGCGTTAACTCCATCGACCACCAAGCTAAAAGTGCACAAGGGCAAGGGAACTCTTCCACTCACGAAGCTCGGACCGCCTCAGCTTTCGATCCATAGTCATTATTGACACGTGGCAATAACAAAGGATGGCAACAAGACCGAAAGCGATGAAGTAAGACGTAACGATAGAAAACAAAATTCTCTATAGTTCCATCATACTCCGTCGCATTCGGTCTCGTTTGCGTCCTTTGTTATTGACACGCACCCATAATGACTATGCGTCGAAAGCTGAGGCGGTCCGAGCATCGTGAGTGGAAGAGTCCCCTTGTCGCTGTGCACTCTTAGCTTGGAGTCGAAGGAGCTAATGTAAGAAGTGGACTGTACATTTGTATTAAACCTGTTTGTATTGAACACTATAGACAGAGCCACTCATATACACAGTCTGTAGCAGCTTCTAAAGCAAAGGTAGTAGAAGAATCGCTGATCGGGAGTCACTAGCATGAGGGGAGCATGTTAAGTACTAGTAGCTCGACACCTCTGGGTTAGGGGAAGCGAACTAACAAGGGAACCTTTCAAACCAGCGCATGTTGATTTTAATGAAATTTATGTGAGACATAGTTCGCAAGAAAATATTAGATATGTATTTTTTTTATCGGTCAACATCCACTCTGAACAAGTAAAAACATTCCTCAAAATTGAGAGTGAGAAATATATTTTTCACAGTATCTTTGAAAATAGGAGGCGCAGGAAAGAAATCTAAATTGTTCGTTTTGAGGCATACAATTTAAAAAGAATATTTTTATTCGCACCCCCTAGTTATAGATATATTGTAAAACACATACTTTCAACCCTCATCTTTGAGTGGCATTTTCAGTCCTTCAAAATGGATGTTGGCCGATAAGAAAAAGTACGTATAAAATATTTTCTTCGGAACTATATCTCACATAATTCGGCATGTCCTATTTGAAAAGTACATGGTACTGCTACATCCTCCATCGAATGAAAGATGTAGATTCGTTCTGTAATAATCGTGACATATTTTTCAACCACCCTGCACATATATAGCGCGCTTTGTTCAGTCATATAGTTACTTGATCGATTAGCGTGTGTAACTGTTTCAACAAATCACAGGTTAAAGCCGAAAATAGGTGAAATAATGGGCGGGCCTCTTTTCATTCCTTCCAAAGGACTTCTCTTGGTCTCTACATAGTACGCATAGTAGAGAACTGGCTGAAATTTTGTTCTTCAAATTGTCTTGAAATCTGTTGCAGGTGAAGTAGGGAAGGAGATGTACATAGTAAACAGGGGGAGACTGCAAGTGGTGGCTGACAATGGGAAGACAGTCCTCGCTACACTAAAGGCGGGTTCCTACTTCGGGGAGATCAGCATTCTCAATATGGGGACTGCAGGTAAAGAGTGCGGTAAATATTCCAAGCGGACCAGGGGCCCGTGAGCTGTCCCCTTCGTATTTCACAATCACGATTTCACGTTTCACGTTCTTACCACTCTGTGAGAGGGCAAGCCGTCGAGCCGGTATGAGCCGATCCGAAACCGATTCTTTCTAGTAACTTTATTTACTCTTGTACACTCTCTGTCACTGACATTCCTGTCGTCGATATCACCTGCCATTCGCGATCGTCGATCACGCAACGAACTAACGACGTACAACGCGATCGAACGTGAATATACGCATCATGTGAGAGTGATATTTATAGAATTTTGTTTTAATTATCTTATAGATACGCTTTCATAGTAATGTGTAGTAATATTTGTAGTAATTAGAAGTAATCTAAAATAATCAATGGAATAACTTTTGTTGTTGAAAAAAATTTCAGAGAACATATACTTGTTTCAATTGTCATCGATTACAGAAAAATGTATTTTACTAAATGTCTCTTACGAACGTTGCTATAATATGTAAGAAATATCAGATTGTCTAATATATCTGTACTTTCATGCATTTTGTGCGAGTTATAGTAATTACAAAATATTCATTATTTTATTATTTGAAGCTAGTCAGTTGCGAAACTTTGTTTAAAAGTGTCGCATATAGTAAACCACAAATCGTGTAGTCGGCTAAGTATTAACGAATAAATTCATGAATTTAATTGTTTCATATGACACGATTGCATCGACTATTCTAATCTAAAAAGAGATTCTGAAAGATTAAAAGAGTTTGCGTTTGTAATTTTTGTTTGAATAAACATTTTCGCATGAGAGCGTGTATGCAACTTTTTGACAAACGAAAGTCGATCATTCATTATTTTCGATGATTTAGCTTGCGAACGGAAAACTTCGATCTAGAGTTTGTATGTGGCACATTCTTAGAACGAGTATTATTCGAATAAGACCTTACGAGTGACTGTACTTTTTTGAGCGAAAGTTTGCAAGTAACTTGATTCGATTTGTGACTCGTGAATGATCGTTTGAATACTTGTTTTTGACCGGGGGTATGTCTGTGACTTGTGAACGTCTGGTTCACAATGAATAACTGGCGGGAGCTTGTCTGCCTTGCAAGGATATTAACCCTCTAGATCCATTTGCCCGGAAAATCAGACAGTCACATAAGCTTGACATAACCGTCTGTCCGGCACACCGGTCTCATTCCCTGCTGTCTATCATCTGGTAGCCAATATAGTCGCTATTATAACAGGGAGATTTTAACATCACACTTGTGCAACTATGAAATTACTTTCTAATAAGAAAATAGAATTATTTTGACCTTTAAAAATAATTTCTGGTTAATAGTTCTGTGTTATAAGCTAAAAGTGAAATTTTTGGAAACTCTTAAGGTAAAATAGAATTATTTTGACATTTAAAAATAATTTCTAGTAGGCAGTTCAGTGTTATAAGTTGAAAGTGAAAGTTTTCAAAGGTTTTAAGCTAAAATAGAATTATTGTGTGATTTAAAAATAATTTCTGGTTGGTAGTTCAGTGTTATAAAGTGAAAGTGAAATTTTTTAAAGCTCCATGTGCACTGTTTTCAACGAAACAAATTGTTTCAAATTGTATTATGCAATGAAACAACATCTGAGATGAATCAGTAATCCGTGATGTATAAAGAAATATATAGAAGAATGAGTCCCAGAACAGAGATCATCATAGTGTTCCATGCAGACGAAGTTAAAAATTTCAAGTTGAAAAGTTTCAGCATTTCGGAGGTGAAGTAATTGCTTTGTGACTATTGTTTTATATCTTGACATTGAAGGATCCATTCAAAAAAATAAAAAATGTTCTATTCTACAGTTTTTACAGAGTATTTTGCCGCTATATTCGCCTTTCTGTCATATACTATAGTAGAAATATTTAATAATTAAAGTAGAACTAGATCCCAATTTTGCATACTGTCTACAATGGTAAACGAAAATAATATTTGTTAATTTATGGCAACAAAAATGGCGATTTCTGTTTAGTTCATAATTAAGATTAATATTATATATAGTTAAGATAACTAAAATCGTTTATAAATACAATAAAAGTTTCTAAGGCCTTAATATAAATAATATAATATAAATTTCTATAGGTTTAATTAAAATTGAATTGGTTCATATTTGTTAAAATTGTTCAAACAAACTCTTTTACTATTTCTTAATTTATGGAAACAAAAATTTTATAATTATATAATATTTTATATGCCTTTTAAAAGACACCTGGTCTTACCCAACCCTATGGGACGAAAACGTTTTTGCATACCTCCGGTGAATTTAATTTTTTACGAATAAAAAAATATTTTCCAAAAAGAATCGTTATTTTCTTATTCTTGAAGTCTTTTTTTCATCCAATATTTTGGTACAAACAGAAATACATTGCAGCCCCGGCTCTGCCCCAGCTTCGCCTAATACTTAGAAATTTCTATGAATGAAATAGAAATAAAAATAAGAACATCTCAAATTTAATAGAACTATGGGTAAAATGAATTTATCATACTATTTAAAAAGTGGTAAGGGGTTTAATAATTGTAAGGATATTTAATATTACCAACGTCCTCTCTTTACGTTTACGTTATTTATTTTATTTCATAGTTCTTACCGAGGAAAAAAATAAAAATGAATGAAAGAAGTATGGGTAAAAATCGTTGCGAGATCGTCGATTCGTTTTGAACAAGGCCCGTGACACGTATTGCCCTTTAGCCTTCGACCCTCTGTTTTATCGATTGTTGTCTTTCAGCTAATATATCAACACGATCTACTCGAAAGTAATAGCGTATTTTATAACAGAGATCGCCCATACTGACTGAGAAATAAAAATGTTGGGTACTTCATGCATACAAATCGAACCTTTCTGAAATATCGATTGTAGGTCGTGTTGGTTGATCGATTTCTGACAAAAATGACATGCCTTTGGTCATTCTCGATTTTTATCACGCTTTCGTAGTTACCTTAGAGAACCTAGTTTAGAATTTGCCATTTGATAATGAGACATGCTCTACTAATATTCTTTAATTCCACTATCATTTGCTTTGCGACCAATAATGCTTCTATGATATGCTGATATTCACATTTTCTCGTAGTCTTTCATTTTCATTTTCTCGAGGAAACATTTTCATGTATTTGTTTCTTTATTTCACTGGCATTATCAAATATCATTTCAAAACAGAAGTTCATGTAAGTAACCATTATAAACTGTGCGAAATCATTAACTCATGTTAGCACCAATTACCATTATCATTAAACGCGAGTATTTCATTGATAAGGTACTGTAGGTGACGAAAATATTTGAACACTAATGCAAATGTTTTCTGTACTATTATACGTTTCATATAAAAAATTGAGCTTATACTGTTAATTGTCAAATGCACGAGAAATCATCCCTTGCCTTCTTTTATGTACCTGTATTGATAGTAGTCCATGTATATTATATTGTGGTGTAAGGAAAAATTATCTTTACATTAATAGATGACTACTTACATTGATATTACAAAAGGGAGTGAACGAATCGACATCGACTTAATAAATCATAGCCAGCGAATGAATATCACGAATAAATCATGAATGCATAAAGTGTTTCCTGGACTTCCGATTTTTGTAATTCTCGTATTACTATTTAATGCACTATTGTTATTCGTATACTACTATTTTTCACACTTCTCCACGGACATTTCTTATCGTAGTTTCTGAATAATGACTGTGAATTACTATTGTAATGCATACGTTCTCCATGAATGTAATTAATCTGCATTCGAATTTGTCATTATTTTATACAGTCACATATTGATTATCGTAGTTAGTTTCCTATATATTGTACAATTCCTGCCATGTAACAAACTTTCTGTCAACATGTTTTACGAGGAAAGATAGTGTACATATACTACTTTCAATTATAAAATTATATTTGAGCAATGAGATTCTTGAAGGAAGATGATAGAATGATTACAATAAAACATTCCTTTAATAAATCCGGAAACATCAATATTGAAATAATAGTTTTATATTTAGTAATTATAAATTTTCAAGTTTATGCACTCGTAACACATATATTTAATATCCGAGACTGGCATATTTGTAGTATATTATTATCGTATTTAATATTTTCGTTTCAGTCATTAATTATTTTGTGATTATATGATATATAATGTTCCTGTGAATAACTCCCTCTATTAATTCGTGTATAATAATTTTAATAATTTTATGAATTTAATTTTAATTTTGTGGAAAAAAATCTTAAACAAAGTATTTTATAATTATTACACATTTTCGTCGAAATACAATATTTTTTCACTGTAATTTATTATTAAATAGCTACTTTACACAAAATAATTGCCTTCCTTAAAAGTTAATAGCTTGATATTGCCCCTCTTATTATTTTATAGTATCAGTAAAATAAACATGCAAAACTAAAATTACATGCACAGTAGATACAGTGTATTAATATTCCTAATAAAGAATTTATGTACATAAATAAAGTATTCAACTTTTACAAAATATAATGAAAATTTAGTTAAAAAATTCTTCAGAATACGTAAGTTACAGTTTAAATTGCAAGTGTAGAATTATAAAACAGTCCTGTAACATGTAATATATATTACGTTAATTCTTTTCAGTAAGACAGAATGATTCAGCTTGAATCAATTTATAGCTTATGTTTTGTTTTATGCTACTGACAATTTCTGAGTGTATTTTGTTCGTGATTAATCTATAACAAAACATTTCTACACGTTGAAAACATTTATGAACATTGTGCAAATAAATCGCGTATTAATATTTTATTTTCTGTTGTTCCATATATTGAACACAAGTTTAATATTATCTTCTGCTACATAAAATATCTCCTAACAATAAAATATTTTTTCTTATTTAATTAAAGATTAAAAAACTTTTGTATATTTTTTGTATAAATATCCATGCATGAAGAATAACTATTTGAAATATAATGAATATGACCGTGATAGATAATAAATGTAATGAGATGTAAAACTATAACTGACAGTTACTTTCGTTCTACTTGTAGATTTTAAACGCACCATCATTCCATTTTTGAAACATAATAAAATGGACAGTAACGATCGAAATTAAAAAATTTTATTATTTTAAACTAAAAGAATTATTGAGCGTAGATTTGATTTTTCAATATCACTGGTATACGAAGTTAATAAATTCATTTGGAATAACATTACTCTTTTAAAGTAAAATTATTGTTACGTTATTCATTATCGTACACCGTACGTACTCTTACGTACTTCTTTAAATCTTTCAATAACTACCACATCGGTTCAGTAACACTTTCAAAACTCGCCGCGTATCTGCACAAAATTTGTATTACAAAGACGTTAGTTGTAATCGAATATGCTCATGCGAATAAAGTACCGCATAGCTTGCCGATTCCCGGTGAATATTTTTTAGGCATGAATTTTACGGCGTACTAACCAAGATTATGCTTTAATATTTCGATAATAGAATTTGCATAATAGAATCGAAAATCTATTACAATATGCAAAGTTGGTTAAGGTAGGATCACACGGCCAATATGAATTTGTGAGGTTCAGAAACGATCGATTCTGAGCGGATACAAACGAAAGCTTGATGCATCCCGATAACCAATAAATGGCTACATCGTCGCAGGTAACCGGCGAACAGCCAGCGTGCGCTCGGTGGGCTACTCGGATCTCTTCGTCCTCAGCAAGAAGGACATGTGGGACGTGCTGAAGGAGTATCCGGCAGCTAGATTCCGCCTCGAAGCTATTGCGGTGAAGAGATTGGAGAAGTACAAGAGGGCACCTTCCGAAAAAGGTAAGAATATTTCAAATACACCCTTCCCTCCATTTACGCGGTACTTTTTCACACGAATTTCTTTTTTTAATTATAACACTATTTACGCCAGGCTTGTCCAATCCACATACTAAAACGGTTGTGAATGCAGCCCAACAAAAAATGATAAACTTACAAACTTTATGAAGTTGCGACTAAAAGGCCCATTAACCCCTTGCGCTACTTCGATTTATACTTTTGTATAAATAACCGTGTATAAAGAATAATTATTTGAAACATAATGGATATGGCCATGATAGATAATAAATGTAATGAAATGTAAGATTATTATTGACAGTTACTTTCTTTCCATTTGCATATTTTCAATACACAATCTCTCCATTTTTGGAATATAATAAAGAAGGTCAGTAGCGATTACAATTAAAAAATTAAGCCTTTGCACTACTTTGACGAGTCTCACACGTGATAATAATTTCGGACCAAACATAAGTGGTACAACTGAGATATCGGTCGCTATAATTATGGCCTGGATTTTTCCCGGCAAATTGTGCTGCAAGGGGTTAACAATACTACAAATACAAGTTAAATATGCTGTTAATCTGTGTGCGGCCTACAACAACCGGTCTTCTTCCAATATGGCCTAGGGAAGCTAAAAGATTGAACACCCCTGATTTACTACCCCTATTGCTTATACATGACATCAATTTAAGGTATTTGAATTTAAGTACACTGAATAAAATTTACTTTTGTCTTCTGAAATGTCATTAACCCTTTACACTCGAAAGATTTTTCACTATAAATAATCAGCACTTTTCGATGAAACATCGATAATATTTTTAGCAACATAACCAGAAATTATGCATAAATATTAAACTTCGTAAATCAGGGAACAGAAATATTTTATTTTAACACTTCATGAATTAAAAGGTTATATCACATAATTTAATAGTAAATATTAAATTTTATAATTTTGCTACATTGAACCAAATGACGACCGAGAGTCGCCTCTCGAGTGTAAAGGGTTAATATTACTCTTTTGTTAAGCTATGTGGAATAAATATGTGTTTCTAAAATTTATACCAGCTTTTCTTTCCAATATTTTGTTTTCTTTTTTATTGACAGTTTTTTTTAAGCGATTTTCATTCACGTAAAACGAATCCATGTGAAACGGATACTCCGCGTAAATGGAAGGACAAGTGTAACATCCTTTTGTTAACGCTAGAACTATCATACCAATTAAAATGACTGGTTTTAGTTTTCTTATTTGTTGAAATTTGTTTTAATTATTATTTCTTTGAAAATATTATTCAAATAAAATTACTCACTAAAATTACTGTTCATTGCTATAAGATAGATATTGAAAAGCCTATTAATAATAGTCCAGTAGACAAAGTGTTAAAAGATATGCCAAAACGTTGCTCAGTTACGTTTTAAACAATGGAAGCATAGACTTGTAAATTAATAATCATTAACTATACTAAGGTCCAGAGAAAAGCTCTGAAATTTTCTAAAAATCTAACTTTATCGCTACTTCATTTACACACAAAATTTCATTACAATCAACATTTAAACATTAAATGACATTTCAGTTAATCAGTCCATATTATCTTTTAAATTTCATTATCTATCTTACGAACTGAACATGTTCTATCTAATTGACTCTGATACTTACTGTACGTGGAATAACAAGATCTCTACAGAAAGATACGTGCCTAGGTAACTTTTCACTTGCAAAAAATTACGATGCTGAAATTGTATCGTATACCATTTTTGTCTTATTATACTGAGAAAAGAACTATGACTTGTAACAGTTGCGTGGAACACCCATGTGCCGTCATGCACGGTCGCACGGAAGATTTTCCCCGGACCATGATTCGCTGCGTGACCATGGTCCGTCGTATATAAAACACCACCCTCTGGATCCACCCACGCCACCAATATTGCCACAAAATTAATTTGTCGCAATACCGGCGCCGAGCACCGCGGGGTGCGAACAGAAGTGACAGGGTGTGAACATCGGTTTTGAAATGACGCTACGTGCAAATTACAGTGTTCACCTACATAGTATAGCAGAACCGTCATTTTATAAAATGAGTGGCTGTTCCTGAAAAATTTGAGTTTCAAAAAATTGTATATTTCTAGTAACTTGGGGTTATAAGAAAGATGATAGGAAATAATTTTAATGATGATAGTGGTTACACTATCACAAGGAAGAGTACTCGCTTACAAAAACTCTAATATTAACAAGACGTAATACAAAAGATGCAGGTGAAATAAATATCACATAAATATGTATATTATTATGCTTATTTAATATTTGTTTAAATGGTACGTATTGTAGTCAAACTTTTCTACAATACCTGAATGAATCATATGAAATTGAGTAAGAAGAACTTTAATAAATGTAATTTAACGGATGAACAAGTTATTACTACCGCTTACAAAATTGTACCTCTGACATTTTTTTCACTGAAAGCGTGTACAGTATTGAAAGCACTAAAAATTACTTAACAGGTTTACACCTCGTCATGCATGCATATCATATTTTTCTGTGGAATAAGTTTCTGGCTTTAACAATAGTATCTCCTTGCATCTTACACGATAGAAACGACGACCTATGCGATACTCGTGTTTCGTGTAAATCGAGATTACAAACTAGTGCATTCCTCCCTGGCTCAAAATCAAGACAGACCCAAAGTTCATGATAGACGAGCGTTAAGTTCTATACATTGAACATCCTTCTTTTATAAGTTTTTCATTTTTTTATTCACAACCGGCAATATTTTCGGATGTTGTTACGTAAACGTATTTATGTTCCATAAAAGTGATCAATGGAAATATTAACATATGAAAATACGAAAAACTAGAATCTTTTTATGAATCCATTAAATTATTGAACAATTCGGTTTGAATAATATTGCTGTATAATTTTGATAATTATCAGGAAAGGGGTCTTCTCACCAGTAACACATATCGTTGAATTTATTTTAGTATCACTGACAATTTAAGTCAAACAATTTTGCGTAATTCTAAAAAATCTAAAAGGAATATTGGAATTGTGAATACGCAAATAATAAGAAAAAAATTACTATGTGATCCTCTTCATAATCATAGAACAATCCTTTATATACGGTACCTTTTCATGTAACATTCATCAGAATCAATTTCCTCTAAAGTCATTACTTACGAAGTTACCAAAGTGGTTACAGTTTCGAGCCTCGCGGTGTGTAATAAGACCAACGTAAGTACAGTGTTCTGTCCATAGAAGCTTGGTCTCCAAGTCTGGCAAAGCACTACTATCGCGCTCAAAAGACCTGAGCAACTCACCTGTACAAAGCAGGGGCGCCAGCGGTTGCTTCAGGCAAAACTGACGGTAGAAAGTTAAGAACATCTCACGTAGAAATGAGAAAACGACATCGTACACGGTTATACTTTCCGAAAGACAGATAGTAGAAATGTAAAAATATTTTTTATAGTCCAACAGTTATCGATGCAATAACATATATCTAATTGGACTACAGGAGTTACACACCCAGAGTGATAGGAAATGCAAATACTGTTGCATGAAAAATAATGACTATTTTTAAAATTTTCGAATGGTTATAAATAATGATAGTTTTATCTATAAAATGAAATTTGTTTTATTCCAAATTGTGTATCTCTGACTTCATGGTGGTTATTTTGAAACTTTCTTTTTATTGTGAGACTTCGTGGCATCAAGCAAACTGAAAAACGTGTTTATTTAAAAACTGTAGCATGGAAAGACACTTGAAATAAATGGAAAACAAATAAAATTGGTTTATGTAAACAACAATTTTATGACATTTTTTTATACAGCTATTGGCATGTAAATTGAAAAATTCTGTTTTTCTTTAATTTACAAGTGCTCCAATATGTTTGCGATATAACTTATTAATTAAAAAGAATTATTATAATTATTATAATTTCACTACTGTACAGTACGAATTTTCGAATAAACTTTGCTGAAACATTCTAAAAAATATATGCTTTTGAATGCCATCATTTTCCAATAATCGATAATTTTCTGTGTAATTTTGATGTAGTTTTGTTACAGACAGTAACACTTTAAATTCATACCCTAAATCACTTTAAAGTTATTCATTTTTTTAAATTAACTTATTTAAAATCGGACTCATGGAAACTAAATTAGTGGCGGGACAGCTTCTGCAGGTTTGAGTTCACTCTCATAATTCAAAAAGTTTTAACAAAAGCCTTGCCCCCTGAGACGCGAAACGGACTTATAGGGTTATATAAAAAATTTATAACTTCAGGGTATCTCCTTCAGTAAGACAGTCTGTTGTTACTTCCAAAATTGCTAACTAGATTGGTTTATCGCCGCCACTTCTTATCGACCCCATATAGCGTGAAACAAATTTCAGTACCGTTTTTCACAAAATCGTCTCAGCGTTTAAACAGAAACGCTACAAGCTACTGATCCTGAAAAAGTTAACTTGTTCTATATCTATACTGGTTTACAAAAATATTTAACCCTCGCCGTATCAAGCCTGGTGCCCTGTTAGACCCTGACCTGTTGATGTTTGATGTAGTAATTTTACCAAAGTATTTTTAAATATATTATTTCATTTTGCTTTTAAAAAAGTGGTACTAAATTATACAAAGAAGCTGATCAAACTGAAATATCTGAAAATAATTTTGATAAAGGTTATCATACTATGCATATCCTGTAAAGAGTGTGCTGCGAAATACTGAAAAAAGTCATTCTTTTATATTTTTTTTACTTGTATAAATATATAACAACATATTCCGTATATTAAGAAAATTATTAAAAATTATACCAGGCTATTTTATACATCTATCAACTTACCCCTCCATAGAGAAAATTAATACACTTTGACTCCATCAAATAAATGTGGCACCATTATTTTTCTATATATTTTTTCGAAGTGTCATTTACAGTATACACAAAAGAAGGTTCAAAATATAATTTAATTTATTTCCCGACCTATCTTCAAAAGTTTCAAAATATCTATTATCCTAAA